AGCTCAATTTTCCGGTCATTGTTGACTTCAAGGGTCGATAAAAAGTTTTCACTTGGCTCTTCAGTCCACTGATTTCCTCCAACCATTGAGACAACAACAGCTGTCTCACCGGTATCTGCAAGAGAAACAGACAACTTCCCAGCGAAAGCAGTCTCTGTCACATATTCACTATTAGCAATCTCTGGACCATACTGGTTGTTTGTTTTCTGAGAAATCACATCAGATTCTTGGGGAGCTTGATTAGCTACACATCTAAAATAAAATTAAAACCACAATACAAATGTTAGAGAACAGTAAGAGGAAAAAAGACAACTAACAGTTTCTGGATGAACTAATAAAAATTGAAACTTATGTCAAAGAAAATACAGAGGTCACATTTCAGCATCCAACTTAAAAGAATTTTAAATTAAAATAGCACATGACTTCGAACTAGTTGAGAAATTTATTCCCCCAAAAAGATATTTCATCACTATCAACTGATTGGGATTGCTACTGGCTGGTTTAAGAAGTTGTTAAGTGCACTCAAACCTTAAATACACATATATCACATTATGACTTAACCTCTCACCAGGTTCCATGCATATTGGCCACATGCTACTCTAATTTAGCATATCTCCAGGACCATGATGAATTAAAGGACTGAAATACAACACAACCCACATTAACCACCCTCTCCAAATCTACCTTGGGCATAACCATGTGTCTTCTGATGTGCCTTCAGGATCAAAACCCACACAAAATGCATGATACCTGTCACCATTTCAAGTTGGGAAACAATCAAAGGATGACATTATTACAAATTAAATACAGAACCTACAACTAGAAGAAGATAAAACAAAGAACAAGCAAAACATATAATACATTAAAATAATAAAATGACAAAAAATGAGTGTACAAAACAATAAAAAGATAAAAGATGGAAAAAAGTTACAAGAGAAAGAACAATAAGAAAATTTGAAGTCTAATAAAAGATTCAAGTTTACCATATATCACAAGAGTCACATGCAATTGATGTATCAAGATTGGGATCTCCCTCACTAGTTGTAGATCGACTTCGAATTTTGCAGCCATCTCCATCCAAGCAGATAACTGCCTACAAAAGCCATCATGTGTAAGGGTTATACAGTGAATGTCATTCACTACAAATTCGTAGACAAGATGAAAATAAACAATGAAATGTTAAATAAAAGAAGTTCCATCTTCATTATTATGCAATTGAAATCAAAATACGTTCACAATTAAATCAGATTAATATTGCCGTCGCCATTAATATCTTCTAACTTATTATTATGCCAAGGATTCGTGTCATTTGACAAAAGCATATTAACAGCTGGTTCGTCCAAGTTGAAGCTATATTCAGTAATTACTAATCCATCCTTCATAAAGAACAACGGTCTTGAATGCCAGACCCTATTTATAGAAACAAAGCAAGCTCTTTATTGCTCCTGGACCAAGGTCACAATTATGCATTCATGCAGCATTAACCATAGATGAATCTAGAAACTGTAGATCTTAAAGACCAATGTCAATGCAGTAGCACGACTCTTCAACTGGACAATTCATATTTTCAATAATACAGGAAAGGTTATGAACTTTAGGAGCCCCATTTGTTTAATAGCAAGAAACCTTAATAGTATATGTAGGATAATTACATTTTCATCAATATAGTATGATGGGAAAGAAAGAGTGTTGCTCTTCCCTTCAATGGACCAATCATCATCTCTGCATAGATGAAAAGAAAAAGAGGTCAAAGTCAGAACATAGAGAACAATCTCTGCACCTCAATCAACATAATTTCTTCATAAAGGCAGATTCATTTTGAATGTATTTATTGTATCAACAGGATCATTTATTGAATCATTAAATTACAAAATTCTGTTACTCGAAATCCTGAATGTCAATACCATACATAAGTCCTGAGTATCCCATCACCATACTTAACCTATGATATCTAATCCAAGCTACAAGATTGCAATGATGCTGTTTCATGCTAAAGTTGAAAGATAAACTCATTGATTAATATATTAAAGGAATGCTAAACTCAGAACAAACCGTAGAGACCATTTGTAAGATATGAAGGTTTTAGAGTCAACAAAACTAAGAATAGTTTTTGTTTTGATGGACAAACAAAACTAAGACTTGGAAGAAAGTACTACGAAAAAGAACCTGGAAAATGACTCATCCTCAACCTTGTTGCTTCCAATGGTGTCATATACCTTCATAATCAAAATGGTAACTCAAATGCTTTAGTCACCATCTTGCACATACTTTTAAAAACAAATCCAAGGTAACTCTACGTTGAAGCAGCCAAAATATTATAAAGACGGCCCATTTAAAGAAAACTAACTTTTGTAAAATAATTTGCATAAAAATTTTGGAGACAAGTTCAATGCTTCAAGTATCTTGTATCACTCACTGGCACACAAGTGATCAATTGAAATTCACTCTGGCAAAGTGGGCAAAGGTTTGTGATTGTTGCCCAGTTGTCAATACATGCAAAACAAAACCTGAAATTCACCAGATGAACCCACGTCATCAAATTCAAATTTGTATTCAGTCGATGAAACAAAATTCATAGACATCCGAACACTAGTTGAAACTTCAAATGAATCAAAATAAAATGTTACATATAAAAAACCATCATACTAGAGAACAAAAACGAAATACCAATATAGCTTCTTAAGTTTTACTTGACTACTTTGAGAAAGAAGATTCGCGGAAGATTTGAGATAAACATAATTGTGATCAAGAATATCATCCACAAGTGCAGGAAAATAATCAAGGAAAACCGGATGCCTAACCACTCTTCTAGCGCCCTAAAGAAAAAGCGCTTTGCAGCTATCACAGTAACTAATTAAAGATGCTGCAGGGGGTAAAAATAAAGACAATGGAAATGACTAGAAACAATTTGCTCATAAATACCAGTGTTGACAGCAATCAAGGACCCCCCTGTCTATAATAATATCCATGCATATCCCACATCTTTCACCCTCGAAATTAGAAAGATCCTGCAAATTGGAAAAAAAAAACACATAATTCTAACTCAAACAGATATCTTAATCCACTGCAAGCATTTGAATTTTTTTCCACGCATGTTACACTATATTCTTCACCTTTCAAGCTACAAATTACAACATTAATAAGAGACCATTTCAAAAATAAATGATAAAGTAAAACAAAAGAACCAAATAAATCCTAAGTCCAAAAATAATACTCTAGAAGCTTACATTATTATTATCAAGAATTGGAATAGTATCCTCCTCCAAAATGCCACTTGCGACCAAATCCACGTCCATTTTTTTTTTATTTTCCAAATTACAAACCTGTACAAATTAAAATAAAATTCATAATAATAACAACAATCAGCTAATGAAACGTCAAAATCATCTAAAACTTGAATGCTCAAAGAAATAAGAATGCTTAGGATCATCTGGTTATATCTAGGGTTTTCAAAAGCTTAATTAAGTTGCTAAGCTCAGAGAATTGAAGATTTTTCACGAGGGTTTAGAAGGTCAATTCAGTTAATAATTTAAAAAATCGAGAAACAAAAAAGGGGGAAAATAGGAAAAGTAGGAGGATAATGAAAAGGTCAATTACCTTTATAAGTGAAAAGATTAGGAGGGACGGAAAGTAGAGACCGCCATTTTCTTTCTTGCGCGTCTGCCTCGATAGTGTGATGAGGATGAAGAAAGGGGCAGACAGGTAATTGCGAGTTCCGAAAGAGAAAAACGTTTTTGAACTTTCGAAGGTTAAAAACGTAATTTGAAATATGGGTGGGCCCGATGTTCTTTCCTGGCTTCTACAGCTCGGGCTGGCCTGGACTGAATTTTGGGCCTAAAGTGTAGCAGATAAAGCCCAAGATACTAGAACTCCCTTCTCCCTTGGGCCTTAACAATTGTTTCCCTCCCAAAACAAAAAAGAAAAATGAGAATGACATTTAAATTTAAATTCATATATAAAATTTAAAAAATTATTTTGCAACTAAATTAATAAATTATATTTTTTTATTTTTTTGAAATAATGGAAAATATTTAGAATGAACGTAACATGAAGAGACCATCCCGATATAGCAAAATTTCCCAAATTGAACACCCAATCTTTATAAAAAAATGGTGTGTTTTTTTCTTTTTTCATATAGGCTTTTTAAAAAATAAAAAACATATGGGATTTTAATAAATTTGGCATGTAGTCGATTATATATATATATATAGAGAGAGAGAGAGAGAGAGAGAATATGTAGTTGATATTTCAAAAGAAAAAATAATTTATGTAGTTGATTGAGCTGTTGAAACAAAAGTCAATGCCACTTTGCGTTCTAATTCTCCCAACAAATCTGATGCATTAAAATGGTCATAATTCATATAACTTTTATTTTATTAATCATATGTTTAGTTTAGTCAATCTAATGAGCAAAGCAACTCCATCCTCGTTGTTCAACACATTTACATCTCTAACTTGAACTTTAGATCGAATAATACCATATAATAACCACCTGTTTACATCTCTAATCTTCATTAAGCAAATGGCTTAACATGAAGCTAATAATCAAATAATTTTGAGACTAAAAGGCCCTCATTTCTTCTACTCTCATGGAAAAATTACCGGTCTAACGTAGAGAAGAAGATCTATGGAAAAGTCTAATGCTAATAGCTTGGATACGTAAGATTTCATGTGAAATATATAATTGCTTCTAAGAATTATTCTTCTAATATTTTAAAGTTGATGGGACTAATAATGAAATGATGATTATGTTCCACAAGTTCTAACAACAAACTTCTGATCGACGTGTCATGTGATTTTGGCTTTACTTGCATAGGAAGAAGAAGAAATTGTAACCTTTACCTCTATCTTAAAAGAACTGAACAACCAGTGCGAAAGAAATATTTGCTTTCACGGTATGGGGCAAGGGCCATCAGCCATGGTAGTTAACGCATTAAGGGTACAAAACTAACCGTATGGAATCGTACAATCATGTTAAGCTGGGGACGGACGAGGTTGGTGTCCACGTTTTTGTCTGATAAAAAAATGAAAAGCGAAGACTTTAAAAATATATATATTAAGTTCGAAAGAAACAGGGAAGATGAATCCGTCAGAAGCGCTGTCATCAGCCATTTATAAACTGCAAATTCAAGCACAACTAGGAAAAAGGAAGAAGCACAAAGCAAGTGGAGTACAGAGCTGGGCTCAACTAATGGAGTTCTGAAATCATCAAGCTTTTCTCTTCTTTCTTTTTTTTCGATTTTCAAGAAAAACACCGCCACCAAGGTCAACTCATGCACCTAATGAAACCTGTCTCGTCTCTTGTTAGCTCATCGTAAACAAGTTTGGCTTGATGTTTTACCTTCATATTTGCATGTGGGTGTCTTTGTTTTTGTCTGAAAACGAAGTGTTTAACTTTCTTCTTCTTGAATATGGAAGGAAATTCATCTGTTTGATTGATTATGAATTGATATAATATCTTACTTGCTTTTGTGTTTTCTGGGATGAATCCGTTTAACAGTTGGCACTGTTAAAAGCGTGGCTGCTTGGAAAGAATGGAACAGTTGTTGGTTGGAGGACAATTTTGCCGTGTTTTTTTTTTTTTCTCTTGGTTTGGGTCCTACAACTATAGTAGAAGCACTTTGATTGCAGCATCATTCTGTAAAACTAGTTATGTTGACTTCTAGCATGATGTCCTGTCTTCTTGGTATCTTGATTTCTTTTGGGCCCAGTTCCTTTTATTGTCTAAGATTTAGCTCAAGCAATTAAGAGGATCAAATTCTAATGCCCACTTCGCTCAATCGAGTTTATGAGACTTCGCTGCATTTTGTTTCTAACTCAATTTGGATTTTGGGCAAATCACAGTCAAATGATTTATTTCCATGGCATATCTTTCTCCAGACACTATTGAACGGTGGCTGTTTCATCGTGATTCATACATCATAGTAGTAGTATTTTTGAGAGAATATTCGTGGCAAAATGATGATGTGTATCCAGATAGTTTTGATTTATAAGTGTTACCTGTTGGATTGATGCAAAAATCCCTTTGGATGTGGCAGGTCTCATTGGGCAGCATTTTTTGCATGAACTCAATTGCATATAATCTTCTTTTGAATTAATCATGCGTGCTTTCAAGGCTTGTTTTTGCTTGAAGAAAGATAGACAGAAACCTGGGTATGAAGATCCTATCATTCTTGCTTCTGAAACACCTTGTAAGTTAGAAAGTGAAGAATGAACTTAGTCTTGGTGTTTCTACTTTATATGTTTTGCTCTTCTTTGTTGCAATTTGTATCAATCGGCACTAAGTTCTACATCTATGCCAAATGAATGAGGGAGAACTGTGGAAACAATAATAGAACAGTGTACTTGTAGAGACGTATAACTCTGCAGTAAACCTTTGATTTAGTTTTCCTGTTCACAGTAAAAAGGACATCTACCCTGCATATTCCACTTTCAGTTCATTCCTTATGAGGCTGGATGGAAGTTCACTTTTTCTCGTCATGGCCTGCATTTACACATACATACCTTGCATTTCTTACATACCTGTTGTCAGTTGAGAGAATATTAGTTGGGTAAGCCATACAACCAGCTCAAGTATCAAGTATTAGGTGAGGCTCAAAGTTTTACTCTTGGTTGGCTCAAGTTTCATACTAAACTTACTTCAATGGGGTCTTGCCTTGTCTATGCCAGCATTACCTTTGGGCAGATGCTTGGCCAATGTCACTGTTGAGTGATGACCACATGATTGCATCAATTAAGTTTTTCCGCTTCATACTGTCATGTACTTTCACTTTATGTTTGTGGCTATGCCCAATTGCCTATGATATTGCACCCATGAGGCCATTTTCTCAATGCTACACATAAGTTCCTGTTAGTGCTGCCAATGTTTATTGTGGCATCATTTTGCTATTGTTTGCCATAGCATAACTGCCTCATGAACATCATCTGTTGACTTTGGCCAGGTTCTGGCTTTTGAGGGGCCACCTTAGATCATAACCATGTCAAGAGCCTATAAGCAACTAGAGTTTATCTAACTATTCAGTATTAAGAAGTGGCTCTAATCCAATTGAATGTACTGCTGTATCAGCATATTGAATCATGCAGATTTCCAGGTATTAGTTTGTGTAATCTTTGCGGTTCACTTGTCTAAGTCTAGAGTATTTCTTATTATTTGACAGTTACTGTGAATGAAGTAGAAGCTTTGCATGATCTGTTCAAGAAGTTAAGCAGCACTATAATTGACGATGGTCTGATTCACAAGGTATATCCATTCCAGTTTGGTTCAGATATGTGATTTCTGTTTGTGGATTACTTTCCACTGTTGGAGGGGCACTCTGCAAGTCATAGCTTATTTTGAATTTGGAAAGATTAAAATGAGTTCTTGCACCGTTTTCTTTGACTTAAGTAGTAATTTCTCCAGCATGTTTTCTGAACAGGAGGAATTCCGGCTTGCACTTTTTCAAAACAGCAGTAAGCAGAATCTCTTTGCAGATAGGGTGAGCATCTTTTCATTCGTAATTATTTTGTTCCAGCATTTTTTATATGTTAATTCAGAGAAATTTCTCCAAACTGCATGGACTTTGTTGCAGATATTCGATTTATTTGATGTCAAATGTAATGGGGTTATCAAATTTGGAGAGTTTGTTCGGTCTTTAAGCATCTTCCATCCCAATGCTCCGGAATCAGATAAGATTGCATGTACGTAATACATATCAAAGATAAAATGTTATGATATCTTCCTTTTCTTCCTCCCGGGTGTTGTTTGCTATCAAGCCAATATTCTTTGGCATCGTAACACGTCTTTCAAGGCTCTTAGTCTTATCACTGGAAACTAAAGTCAGTAAATATATCTTCTTCCAGTCTTATTTAGATTGTACGACCTACGACAGACTGGCTATATTGAAATTGAAGAGGTAAGTACTTTGTAATTTTCTTCTTGTGATCATTGTTTGCTTAAGAATATTCAAAAATAACATCAATATCAATGATAAGTTCGTATCACACTCATTTTTATTAAAGTTGCTAGTCACATGTTATCTAGTGTTCCTGAACTGAATCCTGTCCTCCTCCAACCAGCTTATTATCACTATGAAATTGCTAGGTTTTGTTATGTTGGACTCAAGTTGGTGTTTTACTACCATAATGAGGGGTGAAAAGAATTCTTGATTATGTTTCACCATAAATTTCTTAAAAATATTAAAGAATGCTTTATCTTTTTGAAGGTTTTATGCATAGAATTGCAAATGAAGTGTTAGTTGCCAGGTTGGATATACTGTTTTTTTTCCAACAATGTTCTAATGTTTTCCAAAAGAATTAATGATGTATATCTTGTTCTGGTGTGAGGTCTTGTAGTGTAGCATATTATCCCTGCTTGAGGTGGTATATGCATCCTGTTTCCATTTTCATTATTCTAGAACCTCTATACGTTACTATTAATCTTCTTCCTTTTATCATTTATTAAGATTCTGATTGGTTATCTTATTCATTGTTTCTATGATTACCTAACTGGAAGCTGAAAGAGATGGTATTTGCTCTACTTAGTGAGTCAAATCTGGATCTTTCCGATGATGTAGTGGAATCAATTGTGGAAAAGGTATCAGACAATGTAAACTGTTTAATTTGTTGCATTTCTATCATTCTGCTTTCTGGATATTTGTATTTGGTCATGTTTGTGCAGACCATGAGGGAAGCAGATATGAAAGGAGATGGGAAGATTGATGAAGAAGAATGGAGGGAGTTCGTGAAAAAGAATCCATCTATCATAAGAAACATGACTCTTCCATATTTGAAGTGGGTTCTAAAGATCTTTCACCTCATCTTTTTACTACTAAGTTATTTTATAATCTAAATTTTTTGCTTCTTTTCATTACTTACAGTCCACACTAGTTAGTGAGCATGTAGTTTAACTAGGACCATCATTCGTATAATTTCTTGAAGGTGCAAAATTCCAATGTTAGGCATCTAATGAAGATTTACATTTTGTTACTCCATTAGCCCCTTGATAATTTAAGAGTAACTAATCAGTAAAAGTTTATATCAGTTTGGATGATGTATGCCATTAAATTCCTGATTTTCTACTTTGGAAATTATTTTCCAGGGAATTAACCCTCGCGTTTCCCAGCTTTGTACTGACCAGTGAAGTCCCAGATTAGGAGTAACAGATGAAGATGACACACTCAATCGAATTTTCTTTCAACATGCTACCAAGTTTGAGAAAAAACCTGCAATGGAGAAGTAGGATGTCTTTGTGGTTGCATTTGAAGGGGCATAAAAAGGATGGAAAGAGAGTAGAACCCCATAGTTGTCTGCAACTTTAAATAATACTCTCCTCGTGCATGCTTCAATCAAATATTTGATGTTGGACTTGTATATCTATAATTCACATTGTTTCTCTTCTTTTTGAACTGCAGTGACTGATTGTCGTTTTTTGTACTTGTATATCTATAATTCAAATGTGAAATGGAAACCTGTCATCTACTAACTCTGCAACTTGCAAGGGTGCTGGTCTTTTTCTTGTACCTATTGTCTATAAATGGAGCATAAAGCGAATATGCTGCTGCAGCCACCACAAATATGTTTTTATCTTTGATTTTCTCATTACCTTTCACCCATGGCCATATTACCAACAAGTAAACATATTTACTAATACAGTTTCAGGTTTCTACATTGTTCTGCAATGTGCATTCAGTTCACTTTGAATTGCATTCCATAAGAATATTTCTAGAAAGGAAACCTCTGAGGTTTTCCATTGTCAGTACTCAATTTCTTGCTACCATTCTTCCCAAAAACATGGCCAAAGTGCACTACTAAGCAATTCAAGTAATTCATGCCTCCCATTTTTTTTTCCTGTTCCTCTATGATTGGTCAAGGTCTAGCTTCAGATTTGCCAAACAGAATGGAACAGCACATACCCATTCATCCTCGCATAAATTAAGCCTATATTTAGAAGAATATCGGCTCTGAAATTATTTGATTAAGCTGTCAAAGGAATGAGCAAAGCTTTTCTCTTCCACCATATGAGCTGTTTGTATTGAACAATTCCATTCCGAGCAACATTCGGATGCCAAAAGAAGAACCAGATTCTGACTAAAAGTTGAAAGTACTGGCACATTAAGGAAAAACGCTGTCGAAGAAGGAAAGCTTGAGTCATTTTCAGCACTCTTTCAAACATTAGGAATAAAGATAAACGGCATGTAGACTCACATGTAAAAAGAAACAGTAATTATAGAAATTCTTGCAATTTAAATTCAAGATGTTCAATCAAGTCCTTAGGCCTTTTTCCACGTTCATGGAGGATACAAGGACAATAGCACAACAAGCTTTCTCAATTCTCTTTGCTGGTATATGATTGTCCTTCTCTAAGTTTGAGTAAATTATCAAACCTTAGGAGAAAAAAAGAAAGAACATTTGATGGGCTGCGCTTGCGTGAAGCAGCGGGTTGGATATGAAGACACAGCCATTCTTGCTGCTCAAACCTGCTGTAAGTAAGCTGCATCTTATCTCTATCTACTTGCTTTCATGTTGATATTTGCTTCGCGGATTTGAGTTTCACCAGTCGGTAACTTTCTATGTTGCAGTTAAAGAAACTGAAGTTAAAGCTTTGTATAAGCTGTTCAGAAAACTAAGCAGTTCTCTAGTCAATGATGGCTATCTAAGCAAGGTTAGTTTTATCTGCCACTCACCTAAACCTTTCAAAATTCATTAGGGTACTAATCCAGCGCCTTAATATTAGTTAGTCAGAGTTATTCACGTAAAGTATTGTTTCTAACTTTCAGTTTCAAGTGTACAGGAAGAGTTTCAGCTTGGCTTATTCGGAAACAGCAACAAGCAAAGTCTCTTTGCAGACAGGGTCACTTCTCTGCACTGCTGGTCCATTGCAGTCATTTTTCTGGAGACAACAATTAACAAATTCCTGATTTGATGACAGATCTTCCAGCTCTTTGACACCAACCATGATGGGTTTCTGGATTTTGGAGAGTTCATTCGATCTCTGAGCGTCTTTCACCCAGACGCTCCTCGCTCAGAAAAAGTTGGTTGTAAGAAATTCCTCTCCTTTGCATGTTTCTGAGTGTATGTCTGTATGCATGCAAGTGCACAGGTAAATTTATGAAAGCTTTGTTGCGTTTATGTTGCAGTTGCATTTCAATTATATGATATAGGGCAATCTGGCTTCATTGAACCTGAGGAGGTAAACAGCATAATTTGGATCCAATAGCTTTTTGTGGTCAAGTTAGCAGGCACCCTAAACCCCATACTTCATAACCATGAAAATTAGGCATTTAGGCTAATTTTTAAACTTTCTGGTAAAAGGTCAAGGAGATGATTTGGGCTCTTCTAGATGAGTCAGACTTGATTCTTTCTGATGATGATGTCGAAGTCATTATTGATAAGGTCAGGCTAGCAAAAAGATATAATGCATACTAGTTAATGCAGTAGCTCTATGATTCAGCCTAATTTTCACCTTTCATACTCGTAGACATTTGAAGATGCAGATTCAAAAAGAGATGGAAAGATCGATCTGGAAGAGTGGAAGGAATTCGTGGCTCGCAATCCAACTTTGCTGAAAAATATGACTGTCCCACATTTGAAGTAAGCTCCTCTCTTGCTGCTTTTATGTTTTTATGCAGAGAGCTGAATCATTATATGCTCTCAGCAATCTCTTTTACTTGAATTCCCAACTCTTTATATTAAGTTAATAACTGTGAATGCATTCACATCATCCTAGTGTCTTAATGAAGAACCAAGTGAGCAGGGATGAAAGAATTAATGAAACATCAACATTCTGTGGTATTCAGGAAGCTTTGCATTGGCCATTGTTCTATTAGCTTGATACAGAGCTTTTTACTTTTCTTAGCCTCCTAACCAAAAACAAGAACTTCAGTGTAGGAGCCGGATTCAACAGTTCATTAACAAAAATGTATACTTACATCCATAAACAAAGATATCTAGCTTTAGAATTTCTATTATACAGTACTAGTTCTATGATCACAGCAGATAAGAGCTAATTGACTATAAATGGGAATTTATGTTGCAGGGACATGACAACTGCTTTTCCCAGTTTTGTTCTGAGATCAGATATTGAAGATGATCCTTCTTTTGAGAACACTGGACTGAAACATGAATGAGATGTATTGTTATTCCATCATAAAGCAGTCAGAAATTAGCAGTGTCAAATCTTGACAATCCTAATAACAAATTTCTCAGTCAGACCGTAGAGATGCTACTGTCACTCTTAGTTTTGTTACTAATAGATGTAGCAGTTAAGAATGCTACCTGCTAGCAGAGGAATCAAATGTTTCAAGCATTGTTGAAGATTCTATCTTAGGTTACTCGGGCTTGGAGACAACCATTTTTTCCAAGTTCATGGGATAGCACATTTCTGTGTGCCGGCTGCTCCAAACATTGTCTGCAAGGATGGCATTCACTGCATCAGTTGGATGAAACTGGTCCCACCAGATGTGATTGGAAGCATCACGACATGCCATTTCTGGTGACATGCACATGATCCATCCTTTATATCTCCCTAGCCCACAGCAAGCATCAGCTGTAACTTTAAAATCTAAATGAGAGCGCACAACAGCATTAGATTTAGAGGTAGTTCAAGGATCTTGAATAAAATACAAAATACAAAAAAAAAAAAAGGGTCAGATGATCATACCATAACGCTTATGGTTCTGAATTATATCCATGGACCCTTGAAACACATCACAGAAAATTATGTGAGCATCAGGAAGCTCATGAAGAAGCTCCTCAGTCATGTATCTCATGACAAAGTTGAACTCCATAATCATGTCATTTATCTCTTCAATACACTCTCCCTTGTTGCTCTTGTACCGCCACAAGTAGTAAGGAGCACAACCAATGGGTGGTAACCCCATGATCACCAGTCTCCTAACATTTATGTTGTACAAGTTCTGTTTTACCAATATTTACAGGTCAGGGATTTCCCGGAGCCAAAATTGCTAGTAATGAATTAATTTTTTGACAATCGCAGAGTTGACAACTGGAATTGAGCATGAAAGTAAGGGAGCAACTAGAAGCTTAAGAACTTGGCGACTACAAGCTTATTTTGGCTAGATATAATGCCAACATCTGAACCAGTAAGTGAAAACAAAGAGAAGGCTGTGATAGTTACCTTTATTTCCTGCCTCATTGTAGATGCTAAGAACTGGTTGAAACCCCAAGGTAGGTATAGGTTTTGCACATTAGATACATTACGCAAATAGTAATGTATATAGTCATTTATCCCAATAGAAATGTAAAGCACCGAACTGGAAATGAGATCATTTGCTACATCCTCACCCAAGCTTAAAACAAACTGCTGGTAAGTATCCGTGAACTGCTGAATTTGGTGGGTGAATGAGATGTGCTGACCCTACATGAAGAACAGATGCTATGACAGCTTCAATCGACATCCAAGGACAGCCACACAGATCAAAGGCTTATGGTGACAGGTACATGAGTCCAAATATGGTTTTGAAAAAATAGAAATAAAATAAAACCATGAGAACTAGGGTCACAAGGCTCATGAGATCCTGGGATCTCTTGTACTCTATTTTCCCACTAACCATTTGCCACAAAGCAGGGGAGGTTTTGAGTCTGAATCACACATGATATACATCAGAACAGAACCACTTTTGACAAATTCAATCCAGATTTTAGTTCATAAAGTCAATGAATAACTCAAGCTAATATCCAGAAGAAGACTATTGACAGAAATAGTTCGAATCATACCAACTCTGATCCACTTGAGAATATAACGCCAGCAGAAGCAGATGCATAATTGACTCCATGAAGCATATCCTCGAGCTCTCCATCTTGTCCAAGATAACTCGGCACAAAGGGAAGTCCAAGATGCAATGCTGATCAAAATTAATCAATACCCAAAGAGGAATAAAGAAAATGAAAATCGGAATTTTATATCCAATCCAGTGTCACCCAACACCTAAAAGAAGATAGAAATCCATATTCCAGTACTATTCTTAGTTGAATTCAGTCCCCAGAGAAAATCATTACCTAAGAACAAAAGGGAATCAAATAATGGAACCCAACAAGACAATGAAGAACAGAATCAAGAAAACAAAAGATTGCGACCACCAAGTTCAAAATGCCATGAAACACCTCACATTCTTGATGACTAAAACAGGGAAGCATTACGAAATGAAAAACCAAAGAAACTAATTCTAACACATATTTTCATTTTCTTGAAAACAACTCTCAACAGAAAAGCAAACAAGAGTTAGATTTTCAATTTTGTTTTCTCTTCCTCCACTCTCTCTTTCTCTTAGAAACCAAAAAGAAACACAAATGCCAAAGAAGTGAACAAGAACAAGAATGAATAAAGAACACGGTTTTCAGTTTCTACCGAGATAATCAACTGGGATTCTTCCATTGCAGAAGCGTCCAGTGGGCTGATGGGTGTCGAAATCTCGACCATAAGGAGGGCGGTCAGCACGTGCAAAGGTACCAAGAAAGTTGTTGTTGCCGCAGTCAACGGTTGAGTCCCCAATAATGAATAGTGCAGGGACCAGAGGGGAAGAAACTGCAGGACTTGCTGGCGATAACAATGGAGTCGGAGAGGCTGAAGAAGAAGGTGGCCTTGAGGGGTTATCAACAATGGAGATTTGATTTGAGGAAAAGTTGAAGAGCTCTTGAGGGAATCGGAGAGCTTTCGAGTGTGACAAGAAGGTGGAGATAAGAAAAAGGATGGCAACAATAATATTGGTCACCATTTTTGGGTTTCACAAGTGAGAAAAGAGATTTCGACTGGCTTTGTCGTTTCAAGAGAGAAAAAAACCCAGAGGGAGGGAGTTGGTTAGTAATTGGCGGGTAAAGAAGTTAGTTGAATGCGTGAAAAGACCAAACCAACCTCCCTACAAAGATATATCTCGCTTCTTTTACTTTTATGCAGTGAGCACCGCCCCACATAGGATCTCTCGAAGCCCAGGCTCATATGTGAAATGCTTTGGACCTATTGTCCAAATCCATGTACATCCCAAGAAAAGTAATGTTCGTTTGGGTTTACTCTGTCCCCGATGCTTGAATTTCGGTCCAACATCAAGCCCTACTTCTGTGTTTTCGGCTGTATGTGATTAATGAAGGATTTTCAAATTTACAATCAGAATTTTGATGAATAGCCAAAATAGAAAAAAAAAAAAAAGAGAGTAACTTTAAATTTTGATAATTCTTACTTTTACTTTTACTATTTCAAAAAAATATATATTAAAAACTATAATACTTGAAAAAATTAATAAACTATTTTTAAAAAATTAAATAAATTTTTATTCTCTTATTGTGTTTAATTTCAACATGATAAAATAAATAAATAAATACTTATATAATTTTTTTAAAATATTAAAATAAGGAGCATTATTTAAAAAAACAAGCCTAAATATATATAATTGTTTTGACTGTTTATTTCATTTTCGGTCACCCTTGCAAACCGAACACTTGGAAAATCCAAGAGAAGCAAAGTTTGCGTGTCACATCCAATTACAAAGCGCCACATTTGTACGACAGCTTTGCCGTCCTTAACGGTAGCAACGGCTATACGGGCGCGTCATCTGATGTTTTCTCAGATCGACACGTGTCTGAGAGTATCTTGTTCCACGAAGCCAAAAGAAAATCCAAACTTTGAGTGTGTCTGGGCGGTGGCTTTGAGGTTTTTTTAATCGAAGTAGCCATGGGAAGATGGAAAAATAATAATAACAGTACACCACTCCACTTTCTTTCTTCCTTTTTTTTGTTTTTTTTTTTTAATTTTGGGGATTCCACCCTAATACTAATTGAACCGTTTATCTAATTAAAGTGTTTTTCGATGATTTTAAGTATAAGAGTATATTTGGTTTAATTTTTTTTTATTTTAAAAGTTAATATGAAATTTTTATAAAAAATAATAATTTTTAAAATTAAGTTAAAATTATTTGATAAATTTATTTTTAAAATTTTTTATATTTAAAAAAAAAGAAACAAAAACTCTTCATTGGAACTTTTCTTGAAGTTATTTTTTAAAAAAATTAAAAAAATTACTTTTTTAAAAAAAATTAAAATTTATATTTGATTTGATTTTTACTTTTTTAAAAATAAATAAATTAAAAAAAATCAAGTCAAACAAATACTAAATTGTTAACTATAAATAATGTTTTAAGATCAAATATAAGATAATTTTCTCTATCTTTTTTTTAAAGTAAGTTTGGTCGCAAAGCAACTAATTAAATTATAATGATTTTAATTAAATATAGAAATCAGACATAAGAGCAAGTCACGTAATGTATTACTATATGAAGAGGATAAAGGGGGAATGAAGATGGTATTAGGTAATTAACTTGTTAATCTATGACAAACCATTTCAGTCATTCATAATTGATAACCGCACGTCGTATTCCATACCCCACAAAGGAATGGGTCGGTATGGCAACTATTGACCTACTAGCTAACTTAATACTATAATTTTTTTAAAAAAAATTAATACACTTGTCTTCTCTTTTATTTTTAAACAAGAATTTGATCAATATTTTTTATACCTACACATGGGTTGTGGGATCTCTACCTTACATGGAAGAATAATAATAGTCCTCAAAGGCTCAAACCACTTTTCCTTGTATGGTATTGCCTTCTATCAACTTTAAATCAAAATCTTTCTTTTTTATTTATCTTATCATTCATCTCAAATAATGTAGCCACTAAAGAGAGAAGGCCCACTTCCGCTTTTTACATAATAATTCATGATGATGAATCATAATGCAGTTTTCTATGTTCTGGGCAGCTAAATCTGCCCAATGCCTTTTCTTTTTTGTGTGTGTGGTTTAAACTTTAAAGCCAAATCTCATTACATTGGAACTCTCTTTCGGTGCATGTACTTGAAACGATTCTTTTGAGGGAACCTTCCTTACCTGTTGCCACCATCTCAGCTTTGCTAGCTCAAGGCAAAACACAGCCATCATTAACTTCATGGCCGAGACTCAACAATTCCCCCAATTAAAATTTTGCTGCCCCTGTGCCCCCCTGCCTGCCTGCTCTAGCTTTTATTGCTTAAAGTTCCTTTCTTCATACTTTAATCTATTTTAAACAGTCAGAATGTAATGTATAATCAAAATCTACAGGGATTTCTCATTATAAAAGAAGATTTCTTGATTCCCTTGTGAACGAGAAGACAAAGGAGTTTTGGCAATGGACGAAACAAGGCTGTTGGTCTAGAAAGTGATTTGAAATTGTTCTGAAAATAGGGCAAATCAAGGGAGAGAGAGAGAGAGTGGTCTTTATTGTAAGATGTGTTACTTAGAGACAGAATAATGCAAGAAACGACAAATTGAC